TTCTTTGCACTATATGTATTTATTTCGGCTATATATTAAGCAGCCCTTTACAAAGTACCTTTGTTGATTTCCATCCCTGTCTCACAGATGATTAACATCTAATACTTGTACCACAGTCAAACACGCATTCCGATATAAAAAGGTCAGTTTATTCAGAAGCAAGTTACCCAGTCAGTGTGTTTCCAAACTTGGAAACAAACTTAACCACTTCTGACAAAGTTACATACCACATTCCCTCAATACCTTATTGTTGCACTATACGGGTATGGACTCTCCGGGATCTAACTAGTTTGTAGACAGTGCGATTCGTTTTGTTCAGAATCTAAATTCTGACTAAATTTAGAAAATTCGGACATTCAGATGCATCCGAATTCCGAATTACAGATATAACTAATGCAAACAAATCCGAATTTCTGAAATTCGTTAGCGGTAGTCTGGACAAAATTGTGTTTGTTAGACAAAATTTTGTTGCAGCAAAATTACATTAGAAAATGTTTTCTTTTTTATTCTGCAGAAGAGGGGGGAAAAAAAGTGTGAGGTCCCCCCCCCAATTCATACCAGACCCTTTAGGTCTGGTAGGAATGTAAGAATGGACCCCCCCAAGTTAAAACAAAAAAAAGTGTGTGGGGTTCCCCCCAAAATCCATACCAGGCCCTTTAGGTATGGTAGGAATTTTAAGGGGGAAACCCAGCCCAAAAAAAGCAAAACAAAAAATGTGGGGTCACCCCCCTCCCTGCGCCTTACCAAGTCACGTGCCCTCGGCATTTGGAGGGTGTCCCCATGCCGATGGGCACAAGGGCCTATCCCCCACAACCCTGACCGGTTTCCGAATCTGAATCCCGAAACAAATTCAATTTCGGACCCGAAAAACGAAATAACGCAAAATCCGAATCAAAACAAAACAATTTTTTTTGTCTGTGCACGTGTGTACTGGTTGGCCAGTCTTTTTTCCACGTCTTCTTATTGTAATGACTGCATGTATTGCATTTATGTTAGTTTGCATTATATTGGTTTGGATATTTACATTTATGTTTGGTATAAAGGTGGTAAGTGCACATTTTAAAAACATTTGTCTGGATATCTTTTTGGATGCTACCAGTATTATTATAGTATTTTGCATATATCTTCTGTTATATTCATAGATACTGGGTTCTCCCCATATACATGCTCATGCTGGGCACCTTTTGGGGTTTGTATTGTTATTACAAATGTAAAATCTTTATTTATTAACATTTGTTTGTTTGTATATACACCATTTTTAACTGGTATTTACATGCCAGAGGGCTCCTTGATGAGCTTTAGGATTTTCATTATTTTTAGGGGTGAGGGT